TAAAATGTATAATTAATATGCAAACCCGTGAACTAGCCTGTCAGTTAGGTTAGATGCTAAAATAGATTTTATTCATCTGACCAGGAAAAGAAAGTTCTTTTTAGATCAATAATCCATAGAGTTTATCGCCCATGACCATCAGTACCATTAGTATGCAAGTTGTTTATGAAGATTATCGAGCTGTGTGATCAAAATTTGTTTGAATGATGTTTAATAAGATGAAAAGGAGAAGAATCCAATATTTCGAAGCCCTTGTTTATACAACAGTGTCTTTGATTAGAAGTGTTGAAATCGAATAATACTCTAATTAAAGAGCATTCTCATTTTCAAGTTCATTAAATTCTCGTATCTTGAAGAGTTTATCAACTTAATTTTATTTCCTATAATGTAAAATATTGTTCAACATTTGAAAAACCTAGGTTAATAACAATTAAAGTTAAAATCTGAGAATGTTTGTATCAGCAGTGCATGCAACTACTACGGTTAATAGACAGTACTAACGATAAATGAAATACTTAGTCAACAATATGAATAATGAAAATTTTTATCATGCTCATAATAGTCTCTGAATTAAACTTGTTTAGAAACTATCCTATCAGTTGATTTCTTAATTACTAAGAGGCGATTTCAAGTTCACATTCATACAGTGTTCTGTTTAACTTCATTAAATTTTAGAAAAACAGACTTTGAATATGTTCTTCTATTTTGTATCTTATTTTAAGTGACAAACTGTATCTATTTGATTGATGTTGTAAAGTTACGTCTCTATCAATGTTGATATGTTTACACTGAGTATTTGAAATTTCGACGAGTTTTGGTCTCTATGTATTATGGTAAGTTATTATGCATACTTTCTGACATCCTCGTTATTGGAAGAATAAACTTGGTATGCAAAACCAAGAATAGTTTATGAACTATTGAAAATGAATATATGCGATTGATATTGTATGTTTTCATGTATGAATCGAAATTTCCCTAATTAGATATTTAATATTTTAAGGAAAAATATTAAAAAAAACACTAATTAATTAATACACTGATGCAGTGAATATATATTGTTCTAAATTTTAGAAACGTATGACTTTTCGCTAAATCTCTAAGTTTGAATAAGCATAATTTGCATTTTTAGAAATATTATTAAGCTTGTTGATTCTTTTTTATTTGTTATTACCAGAGGGAGTGTAAAAATAACTAACCATCTTTGTTTAAGATAAAATTGTTTAACTACGTAAATAAATCTAAAAGATTAACCTTTTTTAAAAATAATTTTTCATTGTTACATCAGATATTTGTGCATTTTGTTTATGGCTGTAGCTTAAATTAGCTCTCAATCTTCATCTGAACAAATTATTTTGGACTTTGTTATGCTGAAACGAATAGAATATTTGAACAATGTTGCTGCCTAATAATTTATTTGATAATTTGATAACAATTAACAGTTCTTTTTTATTTTGCAAAATCATACATTCTTTATCTCATTCATTTGCATTGGTTATTTAAATGATTGCATTGATGTTGAAGACTATAATTGGTTATTCATTTTCATTTAATGTTTGTTAGTTGTACGTACTTTCGTTTTTTTCTGCATTAATAAATAAAGTGAATATTGATGAAGTTAAAAAGATCTATGCGATTTGCTTGTTTTTGGTTTATCATCGAAGTGTTTAAATAAGTTCTAATCTTTCTGTTAAGAGACCACAAAACACCAAACGAAATACTAACCATTAAATTCATTTTCGTTTAATTTTATGAAGTTTCAGATCAACTTTTACAGTGTTTACCTCATTTTAGAGTCAGGTAGTGATTGAAGACTTAATTTTTAAAAATGAAACGTTATTTTCATATAGTTTCAAATATGAATGAATTCAAAAGGCTTTTAGCCAAACGACTCATAGAGTTGCTTGAACTAAGACAGTATCTTGTAAACAGTTTGCTGTGGTATCAAAAGCATTTTATTTAGAATGTCTTAGACTGTACTGTGAACATCCAGGCAAAAACACTTTGTATTTTTTTCGAGCAATTGTTTGAAATGGAACATTAAACTGTTGTAATAGGATTTATGCTTAACTGAAGACTTGAAATGATTCGTATTTCATTTTGTGCACTATTTGTTATTTTCAAACATTTGTTAAAGCCTTCAGATATTTAAGCAATATGAAACGAATATAACAATGGTTCTCTCCGAATATGAATAAAAGTTATCACAATCATAAGATGAAACTGTTCACAAGGAAAAGTGCATCCGAAACTGTGGTTTTCTTTTCCTTACTAAGAATTCATTTTATTTGAAGGTCATTAAAAACATTTGCATTATAAGTATGTTCGTTATAGCAGAGGATAATTTTTATAATTTATATCACTTCTTCCTAAAACGGTTGTAACATGAAATTTGATGATAAATGTTCAAGATAAGTTACAAAATATTGTTCAATGTTTTCTAGTTAAACATTTGAAACGTATCGTTATTAAATAATCTTTATTCAAAAGATTTTTTATCATACAATATGAAAACTGAAGCAGTAGTGTGACATAAAGTTATACACTTCTCATAAGTTGTTACACTTCACTAAACCAATAGCGCTGTTATCCTCGTAGGGTGATCAGAAGATTAATCAAAAATTGGCTGCTAATGCTATCAGCTTACTGGATTTCCGAGTGTTTGAAGGTCACTTTTTTATAACGATATACAATCTTTGTTCTACATTCGATTTCAAGTTTCCTTACAACTTGTCTTCTTTCTGAGTTAGCAATCAAGTGGTGTGTACTAGATACCACGATGGATTTATGCAACAAAATAAGCTCATTCGTTCCTAATTGAGCAAGTACTGTTGATCTGTATTTAACACTGTAAAACAAGATATAACAAATTCAAAGCTTAATTCTAACCGATTGGTTTTTTGACTTATTATTGATTATGATTATTTTTAACTCTACCGTGGTCTGTCAAAGACATTTCAGTTTATTCAATTACTAATCTTTAACCGTTTTTACTTAGAATATTCACTAATATTGTTAGCTTTCATCATTGCCAACTTGATATTATCATCAAAAGTATAGATTTATCAATCCTATTAATAAACTCAATTCTAAAATGCATATGTTCGTGTTGACTAAACTTGAGAAATCTCCTTTAAGTAATTAAAATATCTCAATGCGAATACTCAATTTTCTATGCAAAAAAACGTTTATTTACACAAGTAACAACAAACATTCTCTAACTTCAGACAATTTACAAATAGGTACAATTAGAAAGGCGAAATAAAGTAATTATTCTTTCATTGTAAACGAGATATGCAATGTTAACAATCCACTGAAGAATACATCTTCGTAACGAACGTTTAATTATGACATAAACTAAAAGGAAACAAAGAAACAGATTACAAGTTAACTAACGAACTGTTCAATGATTTTTATTACAATAGTACTATAACCATCAATTAAGGAAATATTTGTATTGAAGCTCGTAGCTGTGGCATTCTTTTCTTGTAATGTCACAGGATTTTAATATGAAATACTGAAACAATGATAATGCTATCTTCAAATCTATTTGCAAATGAGTTCTATTATAACCTGGCTGTTTGTAGAATTTGAATAAGCATGTCAAAACAATGTGTTTTAGTAAATCATCAGTCTGCAAATATAGGAAATTTTAGTCAAGAATAAGATCAATTTAAATTCGATACCAGATTATTATCGTAAACTGCTTCTGTAAAGCAGTTTGTAACTGATAGAAACAGGGCAGGAAATATCAACTATACAGTGTCGCTTCGTTACAACCCAAGAAAATTGAAAGTCCTTTATATGGTCATTAGTTATGTGATTTACACTACAGTTAGCATGTGTATAGTGCTTTATATATTTAGAGTGATAGCAACATCATTATTCTGCTTATGGTGTGCATTGTAATTTTCAAGTTTAACTCATACTCGTTAAACATAAGTATTTCAGTTGAATGAAGAATTGTTTTACGGTTAAAAATCAACTCCTACGATGTGAAACAGGTTATTGAGTTCTTAAGTGTACGAAAATACTTAGATGTAACTCTCTTTTTTTAAACTAACCGTTATTAAGAAAAATGTAAGCGTTGTTTAGTTTTGTAAACTACCTTTACACCTCTTATGTATCCGAAACCTTGAGGTATGAATTTTTATCGTTCATCGGATTTATTGTAATCTGATGAAACGATTTATTTTATGTCTCTAAAGTCAAAAATCGAATTTTCTATTCAGTGGGATATTATAAATATAGCACTGTGTTTTTATGCAATTTTCACCAAGCGGTTGAAGGATATTAAAAGTAATTATCTCTCTTATTTATGTAAACATTTTATAAAAAGCTATTGACTGTCATCAACAGATATTGGGTCATATTCATAGTTTAGGAAACCTTCAATGAAATCCCAAATGAAATCAAAAGGCGTTAGTCATTTGAATATTACAATGGATTAGAATGATTGATATGTCAATGTTTCCAACAATCATTAGGGGTATAATTAGTAATTTACTTTTGGACAAAAATGATGCTGTTTCACAATGTTTTAAGATTTTGATCTCTTCATTGATTAGTTTTGGGTTACGTTCTCTTGTGATATTGAGATAAATGAACCAAGATATTTAAGACTTTCAGATCAGAATATTTATTTTTACCTATAAATTTATCTTAAGCAAGCACTGTTCTTTTTTCTCAGTCACATGCAGATATTTTGTCATGAAACGTGAACTTTAATTCTAACATACAAAGTAGTTAAAAATATATATATATATTTTCTTATACTTCATGAATGACAGATGTTCATATTTCTAATTTCGCAGAAAAATATATTAGCATTTACGTATAGATAGCTTATTATTTGAATGAAAACAACGTAGTCGGAGATTAAACCATTTTGCAGAAATTAGATGGAATTAAACATAACCTACTGATCGGGGCAACCTTGTGACATATACAATTGGTACAGTTTGTAAGAATCAGGAGTTTCATATAAATGATCGTTGATTACTTCAAAATTTCGTAGCATCTGTCACACTGGAAAAAGAAATTTGAAAAATTAAGAATTTCAAGTCAATAATAAGTTAGGTTTTATGTACTCAAGAGAATATTATTTTATAGTAAGAAACCTAATTTCACTTTCTTAGGAGCAATAATTGATTAAAATGTTTCTTACACTATTCCAGTTGTCCTTCTTCGTCTCTGAATGAAGTTTTCTGCATTGAATATCCAAAATATTGCAGGATTTACTGTTGAGTTAAGTGGTACCAAATGCTTTATAAATTAAAAAGAACAACATTAAATTGTGAATAAATAATCAGTCCAATGAGTGGATTAAAGTATATAAATGACCAGTGAGAAGAATGTAAGTTGGTCATTTTCTATTCTGAAAAGGAGTAAAATTCAAATCATGACGACAGCAAAACATATTTTTATAAGATCATTACATTTAAATTATATTGCTTAGAGTAATGTAGCTTCAGCTACTTACGATTGCTGTCATAGAGTTGATGAAGTACGCTAATCGTAAGAGAATTCACCAGCATAATTTATGACGTTCTTTATCGAAAATAAGTGGAAATGAAAATTGCCTTTCAATTCCTCCCTCAACTTACCGAATCAGATAATGATAAATTAAAAATATTTTCACTCACAGTATGTTATTATGTCAAAGAAGCTAGAGTATGGAGAGTGATATCTTTCAGCTGTCATACGTAAAGTTAGTACTTAGCGAATTCATTTTGTGTTTGTAAATTGCAATACTAAGAGTCGAGAAATCAAAATGTTTAAAAGACCGAATCCGTATAGGAAGTACTTCATACAAGCTAATTAACAAGTAATGAGTTATACAATCAACAATCACTGATTATTTTAATAGTTCAAATCACGAAGTGATCTAAGCAAGACAAAGAAAAGTAAGTAATTAAGTAAGTAAGCATTGGACGGCTGTCTCGTCCTGGTATGATACTCATCAACAGTGCTCACCAAGGACGCCGCACGCGGGAGTGAAACCCAGTACTTTCGGCGAAAGAATAACCTCTGGATCAATGAAGGACTTTCAATAGTGTTTATGTCCAGTATCAGCCAATCCATGATGTTGCACCTGCGGTGTATCACTGTCTCCTATCCGATATGGACTAAACTTTACTGATCAGTTTATTTAGTTAAATATTTGGAAATGGTTCAAAGTCTGTCTGTAGATTGGTTCAGTGATTTTGTTTTCTAATTTGATATTTTATGTAGTGTTATCAAAATACGTACGTATTCTCGATCCGCGCGAGAAAAGAGTACTGGATGCTGGACTTATTAGAATGTATTAGGATTTTTTCCTAGTTAATCGGACTTTGATTGAGCAACGAACTTGAATTTTTCAGGGGTAAAGCAGTAAAGAAAGATGAAAGGAAACTTTGCTCCAAGAATCGGAGGCATACTACAAAAGAATAAATAGCTGTGAGGAACAACAGAAAAGGAGAGCCTAGGACAAAATTGGTTGGAAAATGCTGGTCAGCTGCCTAGGTTCCTCGAAAGGTAACAGGTCTAATTGAGTAAGTGGATTTCCAACTATAGTTACTAATTAATAAACTTATCTACTGCAGTAAGAAATGTGGGAATAGTCATATTCACAGATAATGTAACCATTCTTGATATCTGGTTTTGTAATTCGACGAAAGTAAAATGAGATTCGTAATTCTATTTAGGAAGATGCATTTCAACATGAAATAAAACTTACTTGAATGATTGGTGAATATTTCATCAAATAAGGAGCACAACGTTTCATATATCCATACGTAACCAGTAAGTTCCATACCATAAATGGACACCAACAAATCACATAAGCTAAGTGATAAAACAAATAGGGTTGTTTCTTTTTAAGGTACATTTCACTTCATCCAGTCTGTGAAGAAACACAGGTTAACGATTGACTCTTGCTTGGATATATATATATATATATATATATATATATATATATATATATATATATATATGCTCTCAACAAATGCTTTACCATGAGAAATATTCAGTATTATTACGAGAGAAGATAACCTCATCAAAACATATTCGTAGTCCGGACGTTATCCTTCGATGATTACTTTGTTCTATATTCTACGGTTTTAATTTTAAAAATTGGCATAAGTTTACTTACTGTTCCATGTACATCTAGTCAGCTATTTTATCTGCTAAAATTGTACGAAATTACTGCAATTTCTCTGTTATCATCAGGTAATTTTACAAGCTGTATTTTTATCCTGCAATAAAGGCATCATGCAGTTGATTTTACAATGTCAACCAAGATCCATAAAAGCTGTTTGAAATTAATTAGCTGCATTATTTTTCTATTTGCCTACGTAAAGGCTGTCGATCTGGTAGTCGGCATATGCTCCACTAGGGATAACGGGCGTAAATAGGTAAGTAAGCTGTCAATGGCACATTCACACCCTACAGTTGCCACTGAATTTTTATTACTAAAGTATAAATCATACTCAGGTCTGCTTTAGTGTATGATACACAGTGAATAAATTTTATGTCTAAATGGAGAGTTAATCACGTTTAGACAATCGTATTCAAAATCAAAAAGCCTTCCTTACATTCAGAAACTGTCCAAATCATATTATTCACATAGACTGGGTCAAATTCAGTTCAGTTCACAAAGAGATTAAATAATTTTTTCATTCATGTGTAAATCTGAAAAAAAATAATTCAGTTATTTACTTGAGACTATTAGACAAGTCATTTTAACTGTTTTCACTTTAGCACGGGATATACAACTCGAATGTACATGTTTACGATTGATGCGTCTAGATAGTCCAATTCGCAGACTCTTTTTCTCAAGCGACAATTCACTTATCTTCTTGTTTGATATAGAAATTGTAGTTACAGAAAGCGGGTTACTTGGATGCTTTTCCTGAGATTGCTTTTGACGCAAATCTGGTAGATCGTTGATTCTGAATTTTCGAGATTTTGATGCACGCCAGATCTTAATCACAATGATAATATGACAGGTAGCTATAATAAACGCTGGTATGACAAAAACTGACATTGCTATCGAGGTTAGGTAGGCCTAAAGTGAAAAAAAAGCAACCAGTGTTGTTTTGATGATGAAAATAACTTAAAAGAAATTTAATTCGTATTTTAAGTAAAACTTATGGCTGGTTAATTTCGAAATCCGAACATTTAGATATCGTTTAATTTGTAAAACAGAAGAATTAATCTGATGGATTTGCAAGTTATCTTATGTGTTTTGATAAGGCCAGGAGATTACTGTTGATGGGTAATTAATAATTAGGATCTGAAATGAATCTTTTGAAAGTCACTCAGTTTTGATTTAATTGTAAAAATCAATGGCATAAATGGTAAAATAAATCAAAACAAGCTATCTGGGAAGTCATATGTGAGAAGTTTTTCTCCTTTACTCCCTGAAGCTTTAATAAGAAATCCTAGTATACTCTTATGTACCTAGAATATATAATCATCAATAAATTCATCGAAATATACTGCTTGAATTAAGTATGAGAACATATGTTTATCTGTTAGGTAAACAGGAATTGCTTTACAAAAGATTTTTTCGTATAAGATAATCATTTCATTTTCTTTCTGATTCATTTATAATTTTTCGATTTGGATAGTGTATTACTGACATATGATTACTGACTAAACTAAATAAATGATCAGGTTATTGATCAGTTGGTTGTTTTTCTGATTTAAGCCCAAACATAAACAGTGTGTCCAAACTTCACAACTTAACAGTATTCAATATGACCACAAGCACATTATTATGCGATGAATAATAATTATTTGAAAATCACCCGAAAGAGCACATCAATAAATCTCTCTTCAGAAGACTGAAGTATTATTGGTCAATGCAAAGAAAAGCCAATAAGCTGTCGGGTGTTTTAGTCATAAATCCGTAACATATAATACGGATTTAGGTGACCATTTTGAGATGCCTAAAAAGCCCATAAAATTTTTCTGATAATTAATAGTTATAGATTTAATTTAGTAATTACTTTACAGTACAACTTTATGACAAATCACAAACACAACTGTTTTGTATTGTGGATGATGATTTATGTAAGCATACGATACTCAGTATGAATATATATAATTATGTACATGGTTAAGTTCATAGCGTAAATTGAATTTTAATAATCATGCACGTTTTGATCTTTAAATAATGAATAAAATGTTAATCGATATACAGTACAAAATGACACGATATATTCCACCGAATCATTAGTGTAAGCCTCTAAATTAACTGTTATTTGGAGAAAACAATTGTTCAGTGAAATAGGTGTCACTCAGTAATATGAAAGCCTTATATACGTAAAATTCAACTACAGAAATCAGCATGTGTAAAGAAGTTTGACAGGATCAAGTTTTTCAATCAATTAAAAAAGAATAAACTAAATCGAGATTCGATTATGAAGCTTAATTTTCAGTGACAATATAAACATGAATGAGATATTTTGAAAGTCAGAAATTATCCCAATTATTCCTTGTATCCGTAAATAATAAGAGCTTATATTTTGAACTTGTAGTTTATCACTAAATAGTTTTGACATATAGGTTTTTAAAAAAACTACTCAAGAAAAGTTCACCATGCATATGCTCAACCTTTAAGAAAACTTACTTGTGGGCTGATTCTGCTAAAGTCGAATCGACAGTTTTCATACTGTGTCCCCTCATAAACCTTTTGTGCTAGAAATGCTGTAGGTATACCGCATACCATTGCAGCTAACCATGCAGATCCGATTAACATGAGAGCATGTGTTTCTTTGTAAAGGGAGAAATAAAAGTATGGCTGGTAAAAATATGAGATTATTCACTACTGCAGAAAAACCTACTGATTCTTCAAATACTTACCTATATCTTAGTTTACATTTGAGGAGATCGTTGAGTCATACTGAAACCATGAGATGATCAATGGTGAACCACCGTCAAAAACCTAGAATCGGCTGTCCAGTGTTCACGATTTCAGAAATACTCAACAGTCTCTACAACCCTATAACGACAATTGTCAAATCCTCGTAGTTCTAGCAAACAGCCGCGATTAGTGGAGATCAACCGTGTCGGTTATGAGGCTGTAACTCACTGAAGACGATAGATGATGGTCGCTCAAGGTTGTGGTCTGATAAAAGTTAGACTCAAACATCTTTGGGAACCAGCTCATTAGTCAGGAGGTTAGATCATCGCGGGCGCGACCGAAAGTCTTGGGTTTACTTCCATCGGGCGGGAGTGGTGGATGTAGACTGCCGGTGAGTCCCGTACTAGGATGAAACGGCCGCCTAATGCTTCTCGATTTTCAATGGAGGTCCAACATTGGTCAATTCACGATTTCATTAAAACTGCCTATTTGCTGACCAAACAGTTTTGATCTAAATTACTGATAATCACTTTATGGAAAGAACAGTATCGTAACTGACTAATTAATGATTAATTTATCCGTGATTTAAAAACCTATCAATATATTCTAATCTTGTGTAACAGTGCCCCTAAATTATGTTGGTCTACATAACTACATTATTTGTTGAAGGTGAACCACTGGTTACAAAGTCTGGAATCTTATTCAGAGACGTTGGTGTCTTATGGGATAGTAAAACTTGTTAGAAAGCTGTTTTACGTCAGAAGACATGGATTACGTGTGCGAAGCCAAGATAGAGCCGTTTAATCCGCTTTGTGAATACAAAATAACTTTAAAGATAGTTTACATTCAGAAGAAGATTCAATTATCGAAATAATTAGGTCAGAGAGCACATGATACATGAATCTCTGTGGTTCGGGATACCTAGGCAAGATTAATAAAAGATACTATCATGATCCGAATGAGCGACTGTGAGATTTTGCGGAAAAAGAGTCATCGTTTGAGTCGGAATATCATAGTCGACGGTTATCTTCGTCAATGTCTCTGGAGTAAGTGAATGAAACATCATTTAAACTTTCAAATATGATTCTTAGATACATAACTAATGAAATCAGACTAAAATGTAAACCTTCCACCCATTTAAAGGATAGTATGCCTGATGTAAATAACGATGCTAGCTTAATTTTAGAATCGGAAAGCTGTTCAGTATGAAGCAAAGTTTTCTAGAAGTAAAATAAATGACTTGATTATACTGACAGGTATCTTTATCCCATTATGTATGCAGCTTATTTTCGAAATGCTTTTAGATACAATAATCTCAATTTTCTCTTTTTAGAAAAATTTTTTCGACCTATGCAGTAAGCTATTGAGCAGTTACCATCGTCCGTGTTTACTTTTTTACATTCTAAAACATAATTTACAAATGCATTATTTATGCTGTCAGTTCTTTGCAGACGATTGAAATTTTTCATTACGACAAACATTTGTCACTATTAACGTGATTGAAAAGATTACAAACACTTTGGTTTTGTTACTTTGGTCTGTCGTATGAAATAATGTAAATCAATTCACTGTTTTACTCACATTGAAAAAGTGAACGAGTAAAATACTTACTTTTACTGAATTTGGACGATGTTGCTCTAAGCGGTCTACAAACAGCCTCTGCACGATCGATACTCAACGCTATCAAGGCGAAAGAGCTTCCATATGTTATGGTAGTCTGCAAGTTTTTGATAATATAATCACAGATAAAATTAAAATCAAAATTTCAGTGCGTATCAAACCGATTCATCTGATAAATTTCAGTGATACACAAATGATTTCTATAGAATATTCAAAAATCATAAGGAACTAGTCGTTTTTATCATAATCGTCATTAAGTTCTGATTTATAAATCCACAAACATTATATGATTATAACCAATAGGAGTACAGACTATAACATAACTATAATATAATTAAGTCAGTATTTACATGAAGGATTACGAAGTTTGTGTTGTGTGATCAAATATATCTACTGTGGAGGAAAAATACATGCACCATAGGATTACCCCATCACTCCATCTATTAAAGGAATGTAATTATGAATCTTCTCCTACTAAACACTCTTAATAGGACAAACAAAGATCATATGCGTGTTGTCGTTATCAATTTTATTACAATGAACGGAACAAAATATTTCTTCTATTTTATACCACAACTGACTTTAATGTTAGTTTTCATTTTAAACTTCTAAAATGACCTTACGTGGTGAATTTTTTTAAGTGCTCATAGATTTAGCTCCATATGCACTTGTATCAATAAACATTTAATCAAATTTGATACGATCAATAGAAACAAATCATAGTATGAACTTATCTGATATGTATAATTTTCGTATTGATAACACTATTAATCGTACTGTGAACATTGATAGAGAGTTAATTTTGACCTTCCATCGATGTACATTTTAATATATACATGCTTGCATATGTCTGTTTTTCTATTTTAATCTTTGTTCAAATGAATCAAGTATAAGGCAACATAAATTTTATTTAACTGAACTAGGTTGTAGCATCTTTCAGCTATGCATTTCTCTGTCTATCGATTTGTAAGAGTGACTTGTATACTTCTGAAAAACATTTATATTCTACCTATTTTATTTCGTTACCACTAAAGTGACTGAGTCAAGTTATACACATACATGAAGTTAACTAAAAGCTGTATTTGATCATTGTTAACATCATTATCAACTCCGCCAGTAGAACCTTAGGGGCTACTGCCGGTCCCAAGCCCGGATAAAGGAGGAGGGTTGGACATGGGGTTGGCGACCCCATTCCGTCAAAAACTAACTTGCCAAAAAAACCCTTACCAGAAAAATAATTCAAACCAATAGGTTCCAGGCCTTTCAGGATCTTCTCAATGGAGAGGACGCATCATTGGAGTACAACTGAAAAGGGATTAAGGAGGCAATCACTTCAACATGTCAGGAGGTCCCTGGTCGCAAGAAGCACCATAACAAGGAATGGATCTCTCTTGGTACTCTTGCAAAAATTGAAGAAAGGAGGAACAAGAGGGCATCAATCAATGTCAGCCGAACAAGAGCCGAGAAAGTTACCGCACAAGCTGAATAGACGGAAGCAAACAGGGAAGTGAAGAAGAACATCAGAGTTGACAAACGAAAATATGTGGAAGATCTAGCAACGACGGCGGAAAAGGCTGCAAGAGAAGGAAACTTGAGACAATTGTACGAAACAACAAAGAAGCTCGCCGGGAACTATCGTAAACCAGAACGACCAGTGAAAAGCAAGGATGGGAAAATAATCAGCAACACTGAAGAACAGCGAAATAGGTGGGTGGAGCACTTTAAGGAACTATTGAATCGACCAGCTCCACTGAACACACCCAACATCGAAGCAGCATCCACGGACCTCCCAATTGATATTGGCGCACCTACGATTGAGGAGATCAGTATGGCCATCAGACAAATCAAGAACGGCAAAGCAGCAGGACCAGACAACATTCCAGCAGAGGCAATGAAAGCAGATGTGGAAGCAACTGCAAAAATATTTCACATCCTCCTCAAGAAGATTTGGGATGAGGAACAAGTACCATCTGATTGGAAAGATGGATACCTCATCAAAATACCAAAGAAAGACGATCTCAGCAAGTGTGAAAACTACAGAGGCATCACTCTTCTTTCAATACCAGGCAAAGTCTTCAACAGGGTATTGTTAAACAGAATGAAGGACCTCGTAGACGCACAACTTCGAGATCAACAGGCCGGATTTCGTAAGGACCGATCGTGTACTGACCAAATTGCTACATTACGGATCATTGTGGAACAATCAATTGAATGGAACTCACCACTCTACATCAACTTCATCAACTACGAGAAAGCATTCGATAGCGTGGATAGGAAAACACTGTGGAGGCCTCTTCGACACTATGGTGTGTCTGAGAAAATAGTCAACATCATACGGAATTCTTATGATGGATTCAACTGCAAAATTGTGCACGGATGTCAGCTGACAGACTCTTTCGAGGTGAAGGCCGGTGTCAGGCAAGGTTGCTTACTCTCACCCTTTCTCTTCCTCCTGGTCATCGACTGGATTATGAAAACGTCGACGTCTGGAGGGAAGCACGGTATCAACTGGACAGTTGGGGCGCAGCTGGACGATCTGGACTTCGCAGATGATCTGGCTCTCCTATCGCACACGCAACAACAAATGCAAGAGAAGACGACCAATGTAGCAGCCTCTGCAGCAGTAGGTCTCAACATACATAAAGGAAAAAGCAAAATTCTACGATGCAACACAACATGCACCAACCAAATCACTCTTGATGGAGATGCCTTGGAGGAAGTTAACACCTTTACATATCTGGGCAGCATCATCGACGAGAAAGGTGGATCCGATGCAGATGTGAGGGCACGGATTGGCAAAGCAAGGGCTGCATTTCTACAGTTGAAAAATATCTGGAACTCCAAACAACTTTCAACAAAAACCAGAATCAGGATATTCAATACAAATGTCAAGACAGTTCTACTGTATGGAGCGGAAACATGGAGAACTACCAAAGCCATCATTCAGAAGATACAAGTGTTTATTATCAGTTGTCTACGCAAAATACTTCGTATTCGTTGGCCAGACACCATCAGCAACAACGAACTGTGGGAGAGAACAAACCAGATTCCAGTGGAGGAGAAAATCAAGAAGAAGCGGTGGAAGTGGATAGGACACACACTACGTAAAGCACCCAACTGCGTCACGAGACAAGCCCTCACATGGAACCCTCAAGGCAGAAGGAAAAGAGGAAAGCCAAGGAACACATTACGCCGAGAAATAGAGAAAGATATGAGAGTAATGAACAAACATTGGACAGAACTGGAGAGGGAAGCCCAGGACAGAGTTGGTTGGAGGAAACTGGTGGGCGTCCTATGCTCCATTGGGGGTAACAGGCGTAAGTAAGTAAGTAAGTAAACATCATTATCAAATAGAGTCAACTAAGGAGGCCACACATTCAGTGCTTTTAACGTATAACACTAAGTGATTCCAAAATTATTTGTATTAGTATCCCCAATAGTTGTGGCTGTTAACTCGAAGGCATGTAAATGAAATTATTGGAGACAATGCATCATTTCTATTACCGTATATGGAGTTTGCGGAAAATATTGAATTGCATATTTAAAATCGCAGACCCTGTATGGGGTCGTACATGTGAACTATTGCAGAATCAAATAAAATGACGAAAAAACTATGTATTATTTATTGGTTTTTAACGACTCTTTAATCACTTATTTATCTTAACCGTATAAATGAAGCAAGGAGCGAATTCATCCAGTGTTGTTAAAAGTAGGAGCCAGACTATCTGTTTTATTTTCGGTTTGAGCATAAATCTGACGGTCATATGGGTTAGGTCTTTGCTTATTTGTGAGATTATTCATCATCGAGCTAACTGGCCACGTAAAAAAATATCCCACTAAACAGTGCAATGTGGATTTCATGTCTTAATCACGACTTCCACGCGAAGTAATATATTTTAACGTCGTTACAGTTTAAAAGCAATGAATTATGACCATTTTTCTCATATCTAAACAACACTGATATATTTACAACATTAAATATTGTCTATGTATCTTGCTGAAAATATTTTTAGAAATCGTGACAGTATAATTCATCAATATATATATATATATATATATATATATATATCACTTGAACAATAGAACGTTCGGGACTCGATATCGTTTCGATTGTGAATTACAATTGTTTGTTGTTGCATTAATTTTTCCAGATGCTTTCATTTTGAATTTTGTCCAAATAACTATGTTGAAATGTTGAAATGATGAGCATAGGAGTTTTTCATTTTAAAATTTTCCTTTTATAGTGTGGACATTATTTGACAGTGAGTTTTATGGAAATTAGAAATAATATATTTTTGCTATTCCTGAATAAACAGTAAAATTAAAATGATTTTCAAATTTTGTTGATAAAACTGGTAAGTTATGACCAATTTTTATCTTGAAATGATTGATGTTGATATTATGGAGAAAATAATTCAAAAGTTTTGTTCAAGTTTAAATAAATTGGAGAAGTTTTAGTTCTAGTTTAAAAATAAGATGTCCAGAAATCAAAACATACTAGTTTAGATAACTTATTTTTTTCATAAAACATTGTTATGCTTACACTCTACTTTCTTTGTGATCTTTGAAATTCTTGACTAAGCATACTTACTTATACCGATATTAAATGTAAGACACAGTGAATACAAACCATAGTTACTTACAGACATATACTTCACCAGTTTACAAACAAATGTTGGTGCATAAAATACAATTGTAATATTCCAAATTATTTCCGGTAAAATTCCACCAAGAGCAACAAATAGATCTATGGAAAATAAGAGCAAGAGGAAAATAGTAGATCTATGCTAATTAAATTCACTACTTTTATTCAATTCAGATGAAACATGATAGTGTTTCAATCCATACTTTGTTGTTTGTCGATTACACTTGATGTCTTGATAAGATAGGGTTACAATGCCCTATAGGATGACTGAAAAATAGTATGAACATGAAGCTTTTTATGATTAGAAAAAAAATTCAATTCTTTGTTGAAACTGGTTCATAATGGTAGCAGCAGATGAGAAAATAAGTAGACACTTCAAAACAAAAAATAAAAATAACCAGAAAAAATCGAGCAATCTTCCATTAGAAGCCATAACTTAAAAGCAAACTCATTTTAAATACTGATAATGTTAATTTTTTGCAATTTCCTAATTATACATAGTCAATTCTGTACAAATGAAAAAACAGTAAGGCGATCTAACCGATAACTACTATTACAAACTAATATTAAGAAGTCGAATCGATTGAATATAGATTATGATCAGTAGCGAACGTTTACAACTGTTTTTCACTTATGTTAGCTTGCTCAATAAAAGTAGATATTAGCATTAATTATTGCAAAATCTTTGACCATTGTCTGAAATTTTGTTACTTCTATACTTTTGGTGAACAAACATTACTTCCTTTTTATTTTCAACATTAATCAATAACTAAATTAAATGAGTTGAGCGTACAATTGTTTTGAAAATCAAAATAAAATTACCCTACCTATAAATATTTTTAGAATAATCATCCAGACTATCAAAGCTATTCAATTTGTCATTTTTGGCTAACATGAACATTTAAAGATATCAATTTTTTTTCAATTTCTGGGTGAACATTAGCCTAACAATTGTTGTGAAATGTTTAGCAAAACACAATTTATATGTACATATACTTTATTAATCTACAGAAAGAACTATAATCAAATGGTAGTTATTATCAACTCTGATGGTATTTAATCAAAGATGCAATATCCTAAAAAAATCATTTAATGTCGAATTAGTTATGAAAGGTTAGTTTTTAGTATTTTTAGAAGTGCTGTAGAGACCACACGTTTATCATCTGTTGAGAAAGCAGCGATTTCACGGGTATATGAATGCCTAACTGATATAGTGTATACAAGAACTTCCAAAGTTGACTGTAGCTGATTATGAAGACACACTTAATTTCATTAGCTAGACAGCTATGCACGGAGGACATACTGGATGACAAATTTCATAAAGTCTGGCCAGTATTTATGGATGAGCCTTTCCAGTTTTGTTAAAGTGTGTAGTACTTGTAAGGTGAAATGCTTTACATGTAAATATCGATCGTCAACTGATAAAGTGAGGATTGCATAGCTTAGATATTGTCTCACAGTAAAACAATATCATTTGTATATTCAAAAATGAAAAGCATTTCTCTAGGTAACAGCTCCACACCAAGACTACGTGCATCCGTCGAAGCGTTTCTAGAACGTCATGGATTGCGTAATTGAAGAGGAATGGTGTAAGTGGACAACCCAACCTAACCTCAATGCTTACGTGAAACAATTGAGAGAAGTTTCTGTATATCTTTACTCTGCATGCGGTGTTTATGTATGAAGCCCTCAGGATGTTAATAAATTTGCCAGGAAAATCCTTCTTCAACAGAATGTCCCAGAGAACAGTCTTGTCTAACGGATCGAAGACAGCACTGATGTCGAAATATACAACGACTGTGAGCGTGCGATAAGGTAGAAGGTAGAAGGCAAGGCGTGAATATACGATCAATACATCCTCAACAATTACAAAAACCAACCTGCTCCACACGAGTAGATCTTTCTCAGTTTTTCGGTCAAAACCATCATTATAAGTAAAGAAGTCGGTTAATCTTAGCTTAATGGTTAGTGGCGCTCCAAGAGTTGGAGTTCGTTGTGGATTAATTTGGACATAATTTGATCGGGAAAATGTTGGAATATTGGATGGACGGAATACGAAGAAAATCAGAGAATTTTTAGAAACTTGGCACTCAGGAGAGTCAGCAGTCAGCTATCACGTTGAAATTTACCAGTTCATCAAAAAAATCATAAACAAACGTTAGATCAAGAATCAGATCAAAGGCGGTTACAATGTTAATCAAGAGGCAAAAAACGACAGGTTAAATGTCATTAATCACCAATCAAGATATAGGTCAATAGGACAATCTTCAAGTCACATCTTGAATACTACTTTTCTACCTGAAGTTAGTGTTTACGATGTTGTTCAGAACGACAATGAAAATCCCATAACCAAACAATCCAGCTCAAAAAAGATCATAGAAAACCAGTTATTTTGAACTATTGGAAATGAAACTACTAATAAAAATGCAGTGTTAAATTTCCTTTAATCAATCTAGCTTCTTGGTGTATTTCAGTTTTATGCGCCACTGTATTCATTAAAGGAAACTAACCAAATAAGTTAAAATAACATTGAAATAAATTTTCACTAGGCATCAACTTAAATCTTTACCTGTAATAGCCAAATTAATGATGAATATTTCCATTTGTGTTTTGATTTTTTTTGAGAAAATCACACCCAATACAGTCAAATTACCAATAACAATAGTAAAGAATAAAACTAATAAGATGATTAGTCCAATGGTTTGTAGCTATAAACAAGAGAAAAAAAATATTTCAAGAATAGCAGTTATCTTGTTAAACATGAAGAAAGTCAAAATTAAAAAAAGGAAATGACATTGATTTGATGCAAAACATTTGTATCATTGACTATAAGTGTAATAAGCATGATAAGCTGATAAACGCAGTAACAACCTTTTTACAAAAGGTTACTTTAGTAAACAACTTAAACATTACATTATCCAAGTGATAGGCATAACATGCAAGTGTCAATAGAGATCGATTAGTTGCATTTCTTAACATAAATACTGAGATGAAATTAAAACTTAGTAGGTTAAAGCTGTAACGATACTTTCGCAAGACAATGAAACAATCTTTGCAAAATATTTAATAGCAGGAAATGTAAAGTTTTCAAATGTATTTATCAACACTTAGTCACAGTTCTAGATTGATATTTTAATTTCACTACAACAGATTAATTTATAAAGTATTTTGATGAAACTATTAATATACATCTTATATTTAAGTCCACATAGTCACAACGCTTCTGACCCACTGTGTTAACATATATATATATATATCAATAATCAAATTAGAATACTTCAAAAAAGTTCAATTTAGCAAAGTTCAGCATAATGAAATGTCAAAAGAATTTGGTATAAAAACCCAAAATGCTTTTATGATAATAATATAAATGTATCATTAGCATTCTTCTTATTTTTGTCACACTTAAAATAAATCACTAATAAATGAACGTTAGCCACTTATGAAAATCATTTTATAATCTAATTTATTCGGATCTTCAAAGTACACACTTATAAACCGACTGTTATTCCCTGATAAATGTTTCAAAAAATCTGACCTCAGGAAGAAATCGATTGATAAATTTCTTGCTTTAATTACATTACATAATTAATTGGTTTAATTTCAGTAAAATGTAAATATATCGCGCCACTTGGAAATGAATGATCCATTTAAATTAAACTAATTCTACAAAGAATTAGATAATATATTCCTTAGCATAAAAATTTCATGCTTTCAAACACAGATAAGATGATAATTAAACAAATTATTTAGGGTAAAAGAAAAAATTCACTCGACGAATAAAATTTTACATCAAATTACATTAGTTAATACTGGTTACTTATTATTTTTGGTAATGTCTACAGGAATAATTCAACAGTTCTATTATTTCAAGTTGTAAGACAATATGTAACAATAAAATCTGCATTTATGTAAGATCCAAACTGAGGTGTGGACTGAGGAATAACTGTCTAGGTAGTTTAGACACGCACCTTGCCCAGTTGAAACCAAAATAAAGTGATTGAGTAAATGACTCTTTTAATATTCATCATAAATATAGATATACATCATTACCTAAACAAATATTACCATTCAAATATTCCACCAATGATTGTTCAATTAATCAAATCAACAGCAACAAATAAATGTTATTCTATCCCTCCTGAATAGATCAGATTTGTTCGAGATATAATATTTGGTTGCTTTATAACACAGAGAGTTTCCTATTCTGGAAGAGTGCTTCAATTCACAATCAAAATGCACAATTCCAGTCAAGGCAAGCGACACAATCAAAAGAGGAACAAATCAATATGGCTGTCGCCATAACTCAGTATCAGTTTAAACAACATAAATGCAGTTCAGAAAGAAACACAGAAAATCAGTGAAAGCAAAAGAAATAGAAACTATAATAAAATACAAATATTATCATCTCAAATAGGATTGAACAGACTAACAAAATTTACAACTGAAGGAATCAATTAGAACAAACTACAATTGTATATGCGGAGGGATTTTCACAAACAAAGCCTTCAAAAGTGGATCTTAGATTTATAATCCTATTTTCAACAGGATAAAAATCACAATAAATCATTAGTATCTTATTTTGTGTATATTGACTTTTAAGCATAAGTAAAGTAGTAATTGGTTACCTCATTGGTACTGTTTCTTCAATGAAGTATAAAAAAATATCTAACCGCATTAATTATTCCTGAAAAGTTTCATCATTAATTTGAAAAGACCAATAAACGTTTCATATGTTAATTGAACAAATAAGTTTACTAATTTTCTATAATTAGGTTCAAATTTTCAATAAACAAAAGAAGTGAATATCATGCGATAATGAATATTTTGTTTCTGTTAGTTTTTGCAATTAAAATCAATTTTAGTTGAATTCATTCATCCATAAAAGAGTTGTTGGATTAAAAATTGATTTATTTGTAATCAGTGAATTTAAATGTGTGATAAATTATTGAAAGATACTTTTTATGTATCCCAACACAATTAATGATAACACACAGAATGTAAAAACTATACACAATACATTTACTTGTGTATGTATTCACAACTATGTCTTCAAATAATTTAAGCTGTGTTCCGAAATGAATTCAGAATGTCAGTCTATTATTCAATTCAAGTCACTAACTAGTTCAAACGTTCAATCACTCGGTCGATAAATAATTGTAAATTTCCAAGCATAACGTTTACCAGTACCATAGAGCGTGAAACGACTTCACTATGTTTTTCGACGCGTTCTAGGTTTAAACTGCAAGTAACTTATTTGCTTTGAACATTCCTAACGATGTCTGTTTCTTCGAGGTTTTTCGTTGTAAGCGACTATTGTATCAATGTAGCATTTACAAATTTTTAAATCAATAGTTTATCTATGTTTGGAATAAAAAAGATTGATGATATAATTTTCATTGTGGCATTTTATGGCTAATCTTTAATCAAGCAAATATGATATTTACCTTTACAATATTTTCTTCTTATGCATATAAAAACAATCATAATATTATTGATATAAATAAAAAAATCTAGAAACAGTCACAGGATGGAAGAGAAATCATGTTTGTAAAAAAAATTGGACATATTATATGAGATAATATCTGATAACATTCATTTACTACTTGGCAAGCCTATAACAATAAGGAAGAAGATTTTCATCTTGTTAAAGATGGAACAGCTTGTGTAACTGTGCATCTCTCTATTCATATTAATTTCGGAATTCATTTTCAATAGTATGTTTTAAATAATTCATCGTTATCTAAAAATCTCATATCTATATTTCTGTGTATGGATAATGGGCTGAGAATATTTGTTATAATTAAAAACTTTAGGCAAAATAGCATATGTTCTATAAATAATAATGACTTAAAAGCAACTCGACAGGTTTAGTGTTATAGTAGTTAACTGGTTTATTATACTTTATTGCGTTGTAGATTAGTTCATTAGAATAATAATAATAATAAAATAATCTTCCATGTTAAATAATCAGATTTGTAGATAGAGAATTGATGATTGTGTTACATAAAACTACAGACAACTAATTACAACTGCGAATTAAGTTTTGCTTTACATGAATATAAATGAATTTTTAAATCCTACACATATAATTCCAATGCTAGTCAATAGCCACAAAATGCTGATTTAAGTGTATGTGCATTTAAAAAATGTTTTTCATTGCAAGAAAAATAATAATAACCTGACAGTCTTAAACTAGGGTGAAAATATTGAATCAAGGAAGTGCTAAAAGACTGTGAGACTCCGATATTTTGGATTCGCGGAATGTTTGCATATTAGCTCGGCGATGAAAGTGGAAAATAAACAACATTCAGTACATTTAAAATATGATTTGCTTCAGTTTAGAACCAATATTTAGTAAAGAAATCGCTTTCATATTCTGCTGGAATAAAAAATACTATTTTAATTTGTTACATTGATTTGCTTGAATCAACATTGATATTTTATCCGAATAAGCATGTAATTATGGAATAGAATGTTATTCTTTATCAAGAAATTTATGTTTATCATTTATGTGAGAATACACTCACATAAGGTCAGTCTAAATCAACTTTTTTCCACTGCATTTTAGTTTTTTTATTCTAAACACTGACAAGTGCTAAAGTGGTTATAAATTCAAATACTTGAGAAAGTGTAGCCATCCGATAGGTGTTGAAAGACACCAGTGCATGGAGGGAAATAAATTATACAGTTGCTCAAAGCTATGTATAATAACATGAATACTCAGTAAAACGTCCAACTGATAGCTTTTCAATCCTCACATAAGAGGAAGTAGATTAAGATTGTTCAGATCTGCTGAATTTTAACAAATTGTTTTTTAGGCACCTTTGATATGACAACAATTTTAGAACTTAAAATAAAAATCACTGGGAACTTTCCATTCTTCTGATATCAATACTTTTTATCTAAAAGTCGTTTGCAATATCACCTTGAGTTGGCTAATGAACCGTTTTGAATAAGGAAGAAAACGGAAATTCGGTTCACTATTTTTTTTTGATGTTAAAAGAATGAATTTTCTGCCTACCAGTTGGAGCAGAAATAAATCGTTTTTATATAAAGTAACTTATTCTACTAAATCTAGTGACTAATCTTGAACATTAAGACTGATTCTTACAAATTCGAGGTGAAATATAAGTTTAAGGGATGTATTATTATAATGTTTGTCGTCTGGAATCAAAATGAAATCTTATAAACTTGAAACATGATCACTATACTAACAATATCAACTCACTGAATATTAGGCAATTTTACTTTGTAAAAATTTTCAAATATTTCGAACAATGTCACGTCTTATTGTACATAACATTTCGATATATACGTGACCTGAATATTTATTTCAGAAATACAATGAACAAATATGTTAACAAAACTACAGACAGAATATCTATAAGATATACATGATAAGTACATTATTGACATAAAACTTCATTTACACTATACTTAAAGAATTTTGACGTGAACAATCACCTTAAAAAGAAACTTTTTTTAGGTCAATAAAAATAATGTTCAATATCATTTATCAGAAAAAATTACTAAGATATCTAAAGAACACCATGTAACTTCGGAATAGATTCAGTACAACATTAGACATCATTTTATTTGTTTTAGATGAATAGTAACGTTGATAGATTTCGATTCATTTTCTGGAATTAGCTTACGTTTAAGTCAAGAAAAAACACCAGGGCTTAGTTCATTTTTCACCAGAATACTAGTAATCAACCAAAGTAGGAACATCCTGCAGACACATATGAACTGTTTATCATGTTTGAACAGCATGTTTACCAATGTTATCTAAGAATGAAAATATTCTACATTGAAATGAACATGTGATGTTGGTAAATCAAAAGGGTATTCATAAATACAATTTCATAGCCTTAGTATCATTAGTCGCTAGTATTCTTTTAAAATGATTTTCATTATATGATAACAAATGAAAACTACATCTGTCAAATGTTCTACAAGTAGGTTCAAAAAACTTCTAATTATGAAATAACTTTGTTAACTTTCCCATGGTTTTCATTTAATAATTAAACACAACTAATTATTTTGCTATTCTAAATTTTGTCAAATATGCATGTTACCAAGTATAAAGAAAGTGACTATCAACAAGATGAGATCACTGGTAAGTTTAATTTTTGAAGATGTTTCGTAAATTTTAATAAAATGTATCAGCAAGAAATATTTTGGTAATATAAATGCAAATTAGCAAATCATGGTATATTCTCTTTCCTAATAACTAAAATCATAATGACCTAGTTCTGATTTATGTTACTGATGGATGATAGGTTTTTGAATGAATTAATATTGTGTTTAAGTAAAATGTAATAAAAATACACATTGAATTAAAACGGCACGAATTAAAGTAAGCAAGTTGGAAATTCACCTTCCGGCTGATGCTTATGTACTACATGACCATAATTACTTTTTTGAGATGACTCATATAAATAGGGCTTTAATTAATGGACAATAGGGAAACTATGTTTTACGATACACATTGTGTTCAATTTATTTTGTTGTTAAACTTGTCCACTTAGTGAAATTGTGAAAAACAATATAAGCGGAATCAAATGTATTCAAAATATGTGAAGGCATTCAGTCTAAAACACAAAACAATGATCAATACTAACTGCGAAACTTTTCGATATATTACGCGTGATCGATGATTAGGAAAATTTGGGCAATTGTTGAAAAATAATAGTCTAATAACAGTTGATATGGGGATATATTTAATTTTAAGCTATACCACTTAATATATTTTTGTTTAACCGTTCAGTAGGATTACACTGGTCCATGAAATATTGATGTCCTGTAAATACTGTAGATCATCTCTTATACTGGCTCTGTAATACAGTTATTTTTTCTTTTTTAACAGTTGAACTCTTGCAAATATTTACGGAAACTTATAACGTATGTAAAATGGGATCAGATTTTATCAGCATTACTATAGGAAAATGTTGGTTAACAAATGAAACGTTTTGACTAAAACTTGCTTTTGTATCATTTGTAGCGTGAATTTTGATTTTACTTTGATGTTCTTTTGAATAATGAACAATCTGAATAGTTGTCTACTATCATGTAGATTAGAAAGCCTAATTATTAAAGATTTAATTTAATCTTATGGAAAGCAGTTTAATTAGTACTGTTCAGCCCATAGCCATAAGTTGACAAAACATGCGTCAACATGTACATTCGCATGAAACATTTTAAAGATATTACACATCAAATGACATTCGTTCGCATCATCGTTGAAATCAGCATTTGAACATGATCGTTTTTGACCATATTTATATTTGATGGTTTAGTTAAAATTACTTACTTCCTTGAAATAGCTTCAACATATGCGTAGTAAGAATTATATTCTCTCGCGCTTGAAATTATTAGAAATATAATTTCAGATCCAATATTGTCTTAATTTTATTACGTATTAGGCCTATGAAAATATTCAGATTTCAGCTGATCCTTTCATAACTTTGTGGGCTTTCAGTTTATTTTACATTGAAAGTCTCACTGGAGCTTACGTGTTTGGGTAATCTATATAATTGTCATCACGGCAACACAATTTGAATAGTTCTTGAATAAGCAGACAACATACTTTCGTACATGAGGATAAACCAGTAAGGTAAGCAGACTTTTAATTTAATTACTGATCTACTGTTTCATGAGCAAATTTGTGCATTTATTTTAAAGCAAAAAATTGGTCTTCTTTAAAAGAACTCTGGGAAGCAATGTAATTTCATCTAAGACGATGGTATTAAATATCATTTGTAAGGTCATAGATATCTTTTATATCTGATAATAAAATTGATCGCACAAATCATAAAAACGAACTTAATCGGGAACGATTACCTCACAAATTCGAATGAGATATGATGTTTATGACAATTATGCAAAACATAATTTTACAATAACTCACATATTCATCAATAATGACATCTTTTTTATTTTTCAAAATCTTCGAATTATTACTGTTCTCCAAACTCAAATTAAAATCCTCAGACTCAGAAAAATTTAGGAAAACAGTGGGTTGATCTTTCAACATAGCAGAATCTTTCATATATATATTTTATGTTTGACTGTTGAATAAATAAATAAAGATACTTATATTTTATTCATTGAATTGATCACATCAAACTGATTTGATTCACTAAGGAAAATTATAGTTTTGGAATTCTATAATCTACAAACTAAACGTAGTTTAATCTAATTGGATAAGATTTATTCCTTTATTCTACCAATAAAAAGGGATTTAAAGTGGGGATATATTTATTTCATTGAATAGGATAATGCACTTCGTTGATACTGACTTAAGTTATTGTCAGTATAATTTCAGCTAGATTAACTCATAATAAAACGTGATTTGTAATTCTGAATAATTTTTTTGATCACCAGTCCGTTGTAATAATACATTATGACACACATGCTAAATAAATGACTTAGAAAATATTGAACGAAAATGATCAAAAACTTTGAGTGTATATCTGATAGTAAAATAACATCGTAGTAAAATATTTTTCTTTAGTCAATGTTGTTTAAATTCTCTTTGATATTTGAAAATACCATAAAAGTAAATAAAACTGTTGCTAAAAGAACTTTTCTTATAATTCAAAATTCAATTCGTGTTTTCGTTCTAATGACCGGAGAGGACATAAATCCTTTCTATTCTATTGAAAATGACATCAACAATCTTGTATTTTTCGTGCGTGACAATCAACAAAATAAGATTTAAAGATAGTATTCTGATTTTGCATTAAACGGAAATTGTATGTCAATGAATGCTTTGTTTCATTATATTCCATTAATTTGGAGATTTTTAAATTCTTTTCTCACTACAATGAATTTAGTTCTCTATTATAAAATTATAATGTGTAGTGTTGTCTGCATGGCTGAGATAAATGTAGGATACTGGCATTTACTATAAAGATTCTTTAGATTTTCTTTACTAATCTTGAGTTTATTAACGACCAGTATTTTTTTAATTCATAGAAATACTAGTAGTAACTTCTGACTATTTTCCTAACAATGTTGATGAATTTTTGAAATGATACAGTTGGTTTATAGCTCAGAAAGGCAATGTTGATTTCTCTAGGCTAGATGTCGTAACTGTAATTAAACCATCTAATTCAGTAAATATAACAAAATCAGAGTATAGATTTGTGTTAAAAATGGCTTTTAATATTTATAGCAGCAATGCACACTATCGCTCTTCAAAATAATTCATTTTAAATGTCTTCATCATAGCATAAAAAGGAAATAGTTTTGTATAATTTGGTACGTTTACCTTTCGAATAACTGACTAGTTTTGGACTGAAGCAGTCTTATTTCTATCAACGTTAAGCAACAGTGCAACTGCAAACTTTAATACATATTAAAAAAATGTAGACGTAGTTCAAACATTGACACTCTCAAACACTGAAGTGTAGAAATTAATTGTTGTCATATCAGAATAATAAACCTCCACAAAAAAATTAGAAAACACAGATGGAGATAAAGTTTCTGGAATGAGAGAAACTTGATATCTTTACCATAAATACAGGAGAAGTTGTTATTTAGAAAATAAATGAAATAACATGATACCAAAAACTGAGCTTTTGTGAATACACAAAATGTATTGTTTATCAGCATCTGGTATAAACAGACATTACATGATAACAGTATTTTGGATTTCAATGACTGTGAATTTAATAAAGTAGTAAGTATCATTACTGAAAAAATCATAAGTGGTGGACATTTCGCTTATTTAGCCATGTTTAATAAGTATTAATAACCAAAACAGTAGATGTGCAGATGTCAGCACTGTCAGTTAACAGTATTAAGAATATATGTAAAAAGCCAGTAATACAATGATTCTTAAGCCTTTTCATTGTATGAAGAGAATCTGTTTCGCATTTGATTTCTCAAATAGTCATTGATTTTCCTCTATAATGTAATAAAGAAGCCATAACGTGTATAATTTTCGAAAGATTGAGATAATTACATTCAAGCTAAATTAATATAAAAAATTTAAGTAAGAACCAACTGTCTAATATGGCTATCTGTTCATACTAACCACCTACTTCGTGAATATTAAATCCCAGTAGTGTATATAAAAGAGAAATGACTTTAAGACTGTGCTTTTTGAGCAAAATTAAAATAACTTGTTCACCTTAAAATGTAGTGAACAATACATGACATATTCAAAATTAGTCAAAAATTTTATAATTACTAGGTTAAATTTCAAATGGATTTTTAATATTGCTTCCATTGAAATAACGTTTTTGATCAACATCAACGGAGCACATATTCTTCTCATATTTTGTTAAACGAAATCTCAGAGTTCAAAATAAGGCAATACCCTCAACTTGTTATTTTTGACACAAACAGAACACGCTGCTCTTTCAAAGAATTTAGACGAAGAAGGCTAATTACTGCCAACTAAAAACATTTTCAAATCACTTATTTATTAGTTAAATCCAGAAAAATCTTGCTCATTTTCATAGTTTAAACTAAATGTATATAATTCTTATTACGTATTTAATGGTTAGAAATGAAAAGCCTGATTAATATTCTAGCGTAGTATGACATTATATTCATGAGAATATCTGTATCCCAAGTTTAAAGTTTTTGTTATAATTGGTATTCATAACAAGTGAAATCCAAAATTTAAATGTTCATCATTCAAACTTATTTTAGAAATTGTTTATGTTCAAACCATTTAATTTCAAATCAGTTAATGAAATTTACAACTTATAGTATAGAAAAATAAAATCTGTATTGGTTAATATTCTATATTTTATCTCAGTTCATAAGAACAATTCAATATGCGTTATTAACTTAGTCTATCGATGAGGGGTTTACTACCAAAGAGACTTTTTATTGAAATTTAGGTACAGTTATTCAGATGAATCAATTTTGGTCTCTAATTTTTCTTAAATGAATATCCTATGCATCTAAGTAGTGGGAGTCGATGATGCTTATGAATTTCACTGAGACGTTTATGAGGTTACTTTCTTTTTATGAAATGTGAAATTCATAATCATTGGGTTATAATATTGGTAATTTAGGATGTGTGGTTAAAAATATTGATTTCTGGAATATTGCAACTTCGTATAAAACTTTTTTTAAAAACACATGATAACGAGACCTAATTATCCTCAGTTCTTTTTGTGGTGGTTTTAGTCAGAAGTAAACATGACATGATTACAGTAGTTAATTCTAAAAAAATAAAATTAATCAATATTCCTTTAAATATCTATATATCATCTTCAGATATTTTGTTCCAACTAGTTTTAAGTACACATTAAGGCCAAAAGTTTAAAAATCTAAAAAATCTTGTTTGTGTTGAAAACGTAAACATATTTTTATAAGCTCAATCAGTCCAGGTTGATTAGATTCAGATAAACTTAACCAAAATTAGCCTGACATGTATAAATACTATGCTGATGTAATAAGTCATGCTTTCTACTGCATCAAACTGATAATTAGTTAGTCATTTGTCTTAGGTTTTAAGATCAATTCTATAATAAGTGGATAAATAATAAATAAATAGTATACGATGGGAACGCTGAAGTTACAGCGATTTTATATTCGAACACTTCTTGAATATCTATATTGACGTTAAGACTTGCCGATGAGATGATAATATTATCATTTATCACTGAAATTATTTTGCCTTAGTTTTCTTATATCAATAATTATTCTAGTGATAGAGGTAGCATTTTTCTGCGTTTCTCTAACTGAACATTAGGATTTACGCATTCGAAATATATAAAGCACCGTTTTTTTCAACAAACGTATGAACTAATAGCTTTTACACATCTGACAATATTCATTAGTATGTGAAATTATTTTGTCAAACATTAACTGTCACCTCTAGTATTTTCCTTCCTATCAAATTAGAATAAAGAATGTGCTACAAGCATTCTAAAATATCTAAAACAATATAAATTTTAATCTCATTTAACAGAAGTCACCAAATATTTCATTTTTTACAACATCTTGCTGATAAGAGAAAAATATTGTAACAAGTAGATGTTTTTCTTTCTATCACTATTCATTATGGTATTTGTATTCTGGATAAGGGAAGTATAGATTAAAAATAACTAAATTAAAAGAATTACAAGCTTTCACAATAACAACTGGTGCCAGATTAATAATTAATTAAACCTACTTTGATACTTGTCGCTTCAATGAAGTAAAAAGCACAACGGTATAGAAAGAATTTTGTCTTATCAAACCTTCATTCATAAAATCACTTGTACATAGTTTATTATCGAATCATGTACAGACTTACAGCTATCTCTGAAGTTTATTTATTATCGTCTAGCTTTAATTTCTAACACAAGCTATTTGTGGCGAACATAATGTCTGATGAAACAGCATATATATATATATAATATTTAAACAGATTTCTCACTGATTAATACAAAATTATACTTGTTGCTTCATTTCTATAGAATTAAAACTATATGGTGTATGTGATATTGGAAGTAAACTTTACTATTTATATTTCTACTAAACATAGGTAAGTTGAAAAAGAGTTGAATTTATTGCCTATTAAATTCCTATCAAAATTTTACTAGCAATATAGCATAATGAACAATGTTTCAATTAAAGAATTCATGGTTTTTGATGTTTCTTAACAACGGTTACACTTCTTGATTCATTGATAGGTTAGTTAGTGACTTATTCAATTAATAAACCTTCACTATTTAACAATATTAAGTGACAAACGTTGTTCGTACATGTATTTTTCATTCTTAACTAACTTCTAAGACATTATTTGATTATTTTTTACGAACAGATAAAATGCAAAAAATATCATTCTGAGCCTTTTCTATTTGATAGTATTAACGTGTTTTCTCATCTAGCATATAATAAAAAACTACATTACAGCGCATACAAAAATGAAGAAGTTTTAAATAACCAATTGATAATTTTAATTTCTTAAAATATTTTTCTAACTTAGAAATTCCAGTATCTCAAATAATTGTATTGATAATAAAAGAGATCATGCAAAAACTATTGAAGAGGAGAAAAAGTGATGTTCATTTGAGAGATGCATTAATTTTGACAATG